GAAGTCACACGGGCTGGAGCTGAAGTTCTGGGTTAGAAGCAGCTGAGTTGTCCCAGTTTCCTACCCTTGACCCAGCCCCTCTGCCTCCATTCTAAAGCCATGCCTTCCCCCAGCACAGGTGCATTAGAGTCCAGCTAGGCGCCCCTCTTAGAAAGCTGCTCTCTGCATCCCCCAGAGCACAGCAGATCACTCTTTTGGCTCAGAAGTTTTGTCTTCCAACTTCTGCTAAGCCAGATAAACAATGGTTCTGTTGTGTCGACAAGGCACTTAATTAAATTGAGGAGGATACCAATTAGAATTCACAGTAAGATTGACTTGCAGATAATAGAAGCTCTGGAATTAAAACATCAGTGAATTATTCAAAATCCCCTTGAGGAGAATGGTGAGGTGAGCCCCATTTTCTGGGTAGAGAAACTGAGGCACAGCAAGTTCAGTGGCTTGGCAAAAACCCCCAAATGTACCCCTCAAAAAAGGCTAGGAAGCCGGGCATGGTGGCACACGCCTGTAATCCCAGCACTTGGGAGGCTGAGGCAGGAGGATTGTTACAATTTCGAGGCCAGCCTGGGCTACAAAGTGAGCTCAAGGCCAGCCTGAACTGCATAGTGAGACTCTGTCTCAAAAAGACCAAAAACAAAGGCTAGGAATTGATTGCTTCTCTTAATAGACTAGCACTTGCTTATAACTGGGCTAATTTGCTAGACATTTAGAAGGACATAAAAATCTCTTTCTTAGAACTGAAGCTTAAAAAAAAGAAAGGGACCAAAAATCAAGAGGCGGGGAATAAGAAAGCTCTCCCTAGCTGAAAAATAGCACTGTATCCCCACCATGGCAAACCTTCCTGAAACTGTCTGCTGGGCCCTTTTCGCCAGCACCAAATGATCTCTTTTTTTTTTTTTTTAACATAAAAGGAGCTCAGAGCTCAGGTGGCCATGATGAGCAGGGCAGACCCAGGTGACTGCAGGCACATGCACTGCGGGGCAGGCTCCTGAGAGTCCTGCTCCCCAGACAGAGGAGTGCAGGCTCCCGAGAGTCCTGTCCTGTCCCCGGGCTCGGAAGGGCCCTTCGTCCTCCGGGCCAGCCAAATCTAGATGGAGAAAGGCCCAAAGTGGAGCCCGAAGTGGCTGGGTGGTCCCTGGCACAGCTGGGGTGCCCTGTGAGTTAGCCTGAAGGTGATGGCCCCTCTCAGACCACCCCTCCAGGCAGCCTGGTCACAGGGAGCCAGTGGAGTTCCATGCACCACCCAGCCCCACCTATGTCCCCATTTCTGCTGCGTCTTTGGGTCCACAGTCTATGGGAAGGAATAACAGGGCCTGAGAAGGCCAAAGGCAGAACACTAGCCAGCCCTTCCCCCGGAGCTCCCAGAAGACAGGGCCCACTCCAGGATTTGGTCTGGGGTGGTTCGTGGTGGGGGGCAAGGAGCCCGCCCTCTCTCTCCCCACCCTGGTGTTGAAATCTCTCAGGTCTTTCCTTCCTCCCCAGGACGCAGGGCCCCCAAAAGGGAAGACCCCCAGCCAAGGAGAGGGGTGTAGTGGTCAGCAGGAAAAAGGGACTCTTTCCCCTTTGTTGGTCACAGGCAGGGACAGATGCCCTGTGTGCGCAGAGGTTTGACGTGGCAACTTGCTAAACCTCAGAGGGTTTCAGCAGACTCCCCTCCCCACTCACTCCCCATGCTCGCCGTGAGGCAGAGTAATGGTGCGGTGCATTCCCATTTCAGATCCAGTCTACAAAGGCCCTTCCTGCCGCTCTGTTTTCTCCAGCAGCTCAGCTTGCTGCAGTTCCCGGAGCTCTTGGCAGCAGGCACTGGGCAAAATGAGGCAGTGAGCTGCGTGGGAGGTGGTTAGACAGCCTCCTTAATGAGGGACAATAGCTCTTCTTGGAGCCATTGAGCGGCAGCTACAAAGGAGGGGAACCCCAATTAGAAAGGAGTGACATGGGGAAGGAGGTCCGAGGGACACGTATGGGACGGATCCTGTTCTTGGGGACTCCGTGAGACCCATGGGAGGACAGGTGGCTGCCTGGGTTCAGAATCTTCTCTCTTTCTCTGAGCTTCTCTAGAGCCAGTCGAGGCAGGAACACTTCACAATACACGCATTGGAAGGAGGAAAGATTACTGGGGAGGTTGCTGCCTGGGTCTGCAGTTCAGACATAATCCAGGAATCAGAAGAAAATGATAAGATAGTTGCTTACTACCAATGGGCCTCCCCTTTCGGTTTTGGTGTATGTGTGTACCTGCGGACATTTATACACAGCAGTTGCTCCCAAGTTGCGTTAGCTCAATTGAATCACATTATGTTTACAGCAAGATAATAATCCTGGATTTTCCATGGCTCACTCTGTCAAAGTATAAGATTAGCTCTTGAATTCATTAACAGCTATCACCCTTCAAATGCCAAATAACTTTGTAAATGCCAACTACTTGCGCAATGCCTTCTGTGCAATTCGAATCAGCTCTACCAAATTAACTCATTAATCTTTATTGTTTCATTCACGGAGAAAAAGACTCCTAGGTGTTTTCAGCAGAAGTAGAAATACACGGTCAAGTATTTACAGTACAATAAGGTGGCGGGAGGGGTTTTCCTTTTCTGCTAAGCATTTCACCTCTGCACAGTTTTTAAATCATTCCCACCAAAGTGTGTGTACTGAAGAAACGAAAGCAGCTCCAGGCGTCTCTGCTCTCTCCCAGTCCCCTGTTTTCCTGCCCTTCCATTTAGCCTTGTGTTTTCCTCCACTTCCTACATGTCTGGAGACCTTGGTCCTCGTTACGCTTTCTTTTGCTGCCTTTACTCTCCACATCCCCAAGAGCCGCGGGTGTCCACGGGCTGAGAACACAGAGCAAGGCTCACAGGGCAGAGAAGGAACCCAGAAGGCTGCCGGAGAGCAGGTCTGGGAACCAGGCCTGAGTTCAGCCTCCGGGTAATCAGGCCTCACTGCCTGCTAAAGGTAGATCCAACCAGGCTGGCCCATGGTCCTCATCCATCTCTGGGCTGCCATGCCACCTTCTCCCAGAGGTCTCCCCTGACCAGCTGCGAGGCAGGTCGCCCGCTGGCCCCATCACCCGCCACCCTGTCCGTCTGTGACTGTGGAGCCTGTAGAGCTGAGTCATGATCTCACACCACCTTGCTTAGTCATGTGCTTGTGAGTATGGCGCATAGTAGGCGCTTGACAAGCACCAGGCTAATGAATACAGGCAAAGCCCCCTGGGCACGTGGTTTGCTTCCCTGGCTTCAACTTTCTGACTGTTTTCCTGTTTCTATCACTGTCTCCCAAAATCTTGTTCATATGTTTAATCTTTTCTTTTCTCCCATCCCCCAAACTCCCTTTTACTATCATTTACTTGCTGGAAGACCTGTGCATAATAAGCAAAAACGGCACTGCACGCTCCCATGACTATGGAGCCTTCGCTGAAAACGCTCAGTCAGGCCAAAACTGATGGCTCCTGACATTAGGGAGAGCAGCCGTGCAATCAAGAGAGTTGTTAGAGAGCGAGATTTATAGCTCAAGTGGCTGGGAGGAACTTTCCTCAAAACCCCTCAAATCCCAACTCTTCCATCTGAACCCCATCGAAGAGTGAAGGCAGTTTCAGCCTCTGGAACTGCTCTTGGCTGTGCCTTTGGTCCTGTAACCCAGCACAAAGTCTTCTTTGGGGAGAATGGAGCCATTTCCCTCAAATCAGTATTATCTGATTCCTGTTACTCTCGCCAGTGATCCATGTAAAGCTGTGGAGCCTAGAAGGCTTGAAAGCTTTGTCTGGCTTGAGTTTGAAACAAATGCTTTCATTTGATCAAGAAAAGGGGAGGGGATGCCTCACCCTGAGAAGCTAATCAGATATATGGCTGGGATGACAAGAAATTGGATATGTATTTGTCCAGAAAAAAATCTTTATCTCCAGCCACACTTCCAAACAAAGGGAAAAGGGTGTGGATGTTCTTTGGAATGGTGATCGCTTGTGGGGACCAAAACCTCCCACCTCCGTGAATGCTTATGAGAAATACAAATGTTACAGCGTCCAGGGAGACAGACATCAGAGAGTTAGTCTCCTAGAAAACATGGAAATGATCAAATCCATGCCCAGTGTGATCTCATGGCACACTAATGTATGTGACCCCCAGAAAACTGGTCCCCAAAAGAGAACAAATCACATTTCTCTTTGAGAATGAGGGGCCAGTGCCACATCGAGGTCAGCCCTCCAGGAGTCAGTGCGCTCGCCTCGCCTCTGTGCGTGAGCTGCAGCTCGCCTCTGAGAGCCTTCATGCTGTCAACTTGTGTTCCTTTCCAAACACTGAACAGACACTGCGGTGACAACAGGAGCAAGATGGCTGCGCCTCTGGCCTTCAGGAAGCTCATGGTTGTGGAGGTGGGGGCCGCACAGCTTCCCCAGTCACTGTGGGTGCAGCAGGAAGGGCTCCGTATTCCGAAAGTTTACCCAGACTCCTTTTGCGGCCAGTTCTTCCTTCTCTCTCTGCCACACTTGGTCCCTTCACTCTTCCTAACACATCAAATACACTTTCAGCCGTCCAGCTTGGAAGTAAACGGGAATCTTGCAATAGCCTCATTTGCTGCAAGGCAGATTAGGTATTCATGATCTATATAAATAGCAAAAGTATCATTTTAGAAGGAGTCTTGGGCAGTGATGTCACTCTGCCAGTGATGCCAGTTGAATGGCTTTGGACAAGTCGTTTACCCTACCGAAGCCTCCAAGTCTCCTCACCTGTGACAGGCAGGTGATATCCCTACCTCACAGGGCTGTCATGAAGATTGAGTGAAATAATTACAACCCTAGGAAGGCCTCTTTTTCCACTTCTCTGGGTACTAATTATTAACCGGGCTTGGGTTATTCTCTACACATACGAGCCCCCATGCCTCCACTGGTAAAAATCGGTGTTACTATTAGTGTTGCAACGGTGAAAAAATGCTTTTTATAAATATTAGGGGATTTGGACTAGCTCTTGTTGCACTGCACAGCATTCCTGTGAAAGCTGGGCTTTCTGCTTCTCTCCCAGGGATCCCCACAGTCCTTGGAGGCTGCAGCTCAGAAGGCGGGAGAGCCTCAAAGTTGTATAAATAAAGAGCTGATGTGTTCAAACAGAAAAGAATTCTCCACGCACAAGCTGCACATCGACATGACGCCGTTCCTGAAGGTGATCTCACACTGAGCAGACGAGGGGCTTTAGAGATACAGACACAGGAATGCCAGTTAATACACTTCTGCTCAGTATAAAAACAGCTTTAGAAGTCCCCAGTGCCCCTGGTTTATCAGAGGGGACAGAAAATAGGCAGTTTGTAGCAGATGAAGAAAGAACAAATTAGGACAGTAATCACAGCCAGCCATCGGGGACAAATCAGTTGGGTGTCTGGTTTGGGTGGTGAGGACCAGGGAACAGAGAGAAAAAGGGGTAACTTTGAACCGCCTCATAAAACAGACAAACAGAATTCATTTTATCTCACCAGTATCCAACATAACCACTACTGTTTTACCACTATCACTTGGTAGAGTTGATGGTCGTACTTGGAGAAGACTGTTCTCGAGTTAACAATTTAGAAGTCAGCTGCAGATTCTGTTCTGGATATCTGACTTTGTTTTCTGCTCTCGAAGAGTTCTTTGATCTCCCAAGCTCAGCTTCCTTTCTGGCTAAGGGTCCCGAGGATGCTGTTAGTCTACCTGTGCTGGCCGCCCTCCCACCCCAGCAGCTAACCAGCCCTGGCATGCAGGACGCTGCACTCTGTGCTCCATGGACTGCCCACCTTTCATCGCAGAGCCTTTTGGCTTAAGGCCCTTTCCCGCCCATCTCTTGCCCTCCTCAGAGCTCATTAACCTGAAGTGACCAGGGCGTGAAAGACATTCACCAGGAGCAGAGCCAGGCCTGACGTGGAAGGACCTCAGCTCCTTCTCACTACCATAGAGCACACTAGCCCTGAGATGGAGGGGTTCGGAGAGACAGACACAGGGAGGAAGGCGACAAGGAGGCACCCGTGACCATTGCTGTCTAGTGTGGCGGGTACTGACGGTGACTCTGGAGCCCACAAGGGTCACCCTCCTAATCTCATCCAGTGTCCCCAGTTATCCCTTTCCTGGGCTGGCCCAAGCCCAGTGCTGCAAGGTAGGGCTTTGATTACGAGGCATGCATGTGACCAGCATGGTGGCACACACCTATGAGTCCAGCCCTCTGGGAAGCTGAGACAGGAGGATCACAAGTGTGAGGCCAACCTGGGCATTTGGTGAGTTCCTGTCTGAATTTTTTTTTTTAATTTAAGAGGGCAATGCTGGGGGTATAGCTCAGTATAGAGCACCCCTAGGTTCAATCCTCAGGACTGTAAACAAACAAAAAGTCAAGCATTGGCCTGAAATCTGTCTCCATGACCAGATCCTGCTTTCCTGGACTTCCTATTGGATAGGCTCTGTCTTGTGGTGGCAAAATGTGCATTTGTTTCTCTTTCCCAGGTAGTTCCAGACACAGGGATGATATCAGGACCTCTAAATATGATATGAGAGAAATACTATAACTACCAATCTGTTAGATGTCTGATACCCTGAGTTCATGTTTTCTAAAATGAAAGAATAAATTCTAGGAACAATGGAGGCTAAGAGTAGGAAATATTTACTGAGGGATAGAAAGCTCCTACCTGAGAGGGACAGGAGGGGACACTCAGAAAGCAGGTTGCCCCCAACCCCACTTCTCAGGAGAAGTTTTATAGAGCACAACCACGTGGGTACAACATGGGTTAAGGCTATGATCAACCAATAAGATTGTAAGTATAGCCTCTTAGGTGATATTGATTCAACGGGGAAGCAGGTCACGTTGTGAGTCCAGCCGACATGGAAAGAACAAAGAACTTCTCAGGTAAGTGATGCATCGGGGGTCTTGGTTGCCCACTGAGGTGACTGGTGCCCAGCTAGACTGTGTTAGGCCAGCTGTTATCACTTACCTCACCCTTTGGGGAGGATTTAGGCCTGGTCCTTCCGTCATTATCTTGAGACCTGGCCTCCAAGAGATGTATCTCTGGCCACAGTGGTGCTGTGTTTTCACTTTTCGTCCTGACTCTCCTGAGGGCCTAGCCCTACCTGACGGCCTATAATACTCCTACCTAACTTAGCTGTCTGTGATTACACGTCCAGCTGAGATGCCATCAGCCTACCCTGAGAATGGGAACCGACAATGGTGAGAGGACATCTCACGCAGAAGACGGTTGCTACTGCAAGGATTCAAAAAATATTGTCATACTGTTGCTTATACTAACGAAAATATCTTTATTATTTTTTTTTTAGTACTAACTTTCACACTGAGCTATATTCCCAGCCCTTTTTTTAAAATTTTTTATTTCAAGACAGGGTTTCAGTGAGTTGCCCAGATTGGACTCATACTTGCAATCCTCCTTCTTAGCCTCCAGAGTACTAGGGTTACAAACCTACACCACCCAGCTTCTTTTTAAATTCTTAATAACAGTTTAGTTCTTCCCTTGGGGCTTAAAGAATTATGGGTGATACTTTCAGGGATGTGGCACCATCATCACCACTATTTATTATTTGAGTATCTGCTATCTGCTGTGTGTCTGGCACTTTCTGAGCATCTGGGATAAATCCGTGAATAGAACAGACCAAGGTGGGCTGGGGATGTAGCTTGGTGACAGAAAGCACTTGCCTGGCACGTGCTAGACCCTGGGTCTGATCCCCAGCACCAAGAACAAAACCAAACCCACAGACCAAGATCCCTGCCCTTTTCCAAGATGGCACAGTGCCATCTCCACCCTTGACCTTCCAAGGAGCCTGCGGTCTAAGAGGAAGATAAACAATGGAACGGACAACAGCAGTGCAGCGGCAGGCTTGTGGGGCTATGGCAGAGAGGTGTTAATTCTCAGTTATCCGTATGGGATCCTCCTCGGTAGTCAAAAACCTCCTTACAACGCCAGTGACAACATTATTAGCCCACTCGTCTGATGTCTCTATCAGGCTTTGCTTTGGTCCAGAAAACATCTGCACTCCTGTAAAAACTGAGCCATGGTTTTAAAACCTCTATTCTGCTTTTCAAGCAGAAATGCTAGTTAATGAATGAACGTATTAAGATACAGGTATTTTTTTCCAAAAATGCTTTCAATTGTCCAGGTTAGGTCATGGTAGTAGGAAAGAAAATAGCAATAATGCCTAGTAATGCTGAACACAAAACTGAATACATTATGCTCCACATTGACATGCAAGGGTGCGTGTGCTATGCTCAGATGTGAAGAATGAGCGGCCGGGCCTGCCTCGCAGCTGTGGCAGATACCAGGGAGCAGATGGTGCCCTCCGGCGCAGGGCCCAGGGAGCCACCTGCACGGGAGCCCAGAGCCAGCCATGCCCAGGGTGAGGGCTGCCCGCCCTGGGGAGGCTGCTCCCAGGTTTATTCAGTGCACCGAGGTGCTGGCCACTGCCCCTGAATCCTGTGATCACATCAGGAAGGAACGGCATGAATTTCAGTGAATGAAAGGAACAAGGAAATAATGTCTGGTTTAAGATGCTGCCCGAGATGGAGCAGGCTGCCTCGGGAGATCAGTTCTGACCCCCATGTCACCCAAGCGTGCTTTGCCAAGCTCTCGGCAGGAAAGGTGCGGAAGAATCACAAGCTGGATTCAGGACCCAAGATTCTAGAACACTTGGTACTATTGCCAGGTAAAATACTCAGAAAAGTGAGTCTTACATTTCAGAGAGCAAAGAGAAAGAGGAAGAATGGGGGAGAAGAGGAGGAGGAGGAGGATGAACCCAGGGTTAAGTGGAATACAGTCAGCCGGGCGTGGTGGTGCACACCTGTAAGGTGCACTCGGGAGGCTGAGGCAGGAGGATTGCTGTGAGTTCAAGGTCAACCTGGGCAACTAAGTGAGTTTAAGGCCAGCCTAAACTGCATAGTGAAACCTTGCCTCAAAAAGAAAAAAAAAGTGGAATATGGTCAACACTGAGGTGTCAGGCTAGTAGGTGGGAAACTCCGGTCCTTTCCAACACTAAGTGACTTTGGAATGCTTGGGGACCATTTCCTCTTCATAAAATGGAAATGGCAATTCTGGGACCTCCACACCTGCCCCTTAACAGTGAGGTGAGAATTCCGTGAAATAATAGTTTTCGAAGAATGTTCACTGTAAAGGACTCAACTCATAAGGCAGAATGGAACAAATATTCACTGGTCCCTGCTGAGGCCAGGTCCCTCACGTACTGAACCTTACTTAATCTTCCTACCCCATTTCTGGGTATATAGAACCGCTGTGAGTCAGTGAGGAAACAGGCTCAGAGATGATCGGGGAGTGGCTGGCAGCAGAGGGAGCTAGGATTCAGAGCCACAGGGCCCACAGCCCCCGCTAAGGAGCCTGCGCCTGTGAAGAATTCAGTGCGCACGTGTAGCCTCAGAACCTGAGAGCGGAGCAGAGACTGGAGAACATATTTCAACCTCAGTAATAACACAAAGCACCTTATGATTTTCATAATTCAGTTTTCTTTATTAAAGAAAAGTATAGGGGACTTTTTTTGTTTATTTTTAAAGTGCTGGTGCTAAACAAGTACTCTCTCACTAAGCTATACCCCTCCTACTTAATACCCAAGAAACGTTGGACTACTTTGAGGCTGCAATTTTCAAATAAGATACTGGTTCTTTTCCATTATTAAGAAAGTATCAAAATTAAGAATTTACATTTGTATATCGCATGGTATGTTACACAGAGTTTCCAAATGTATTTTCCTAGTTTCAAGAAGTCTGTACAATATTTATTATTACTCCTGATTCACAGATAGGGAAACTGAGGCTTACTGATGAGTCACGCAGCTAGCTGGGGGCAGAGTGCTGTGCCTGCTTCTTCCTCCTGCGTCCTCCTCCCCAGCAGTTGCTGCAGTTTCCTAGGAAAGCTGCTGTGGGCCTAGAATGCAGCGCTCAGCTGGGTGCTGGGCGCACGGGCCTCAGGCAGCCCTGCTGAAGGGTTCTGAGGACAGGGGCGCAGACGACAGCACTGAAGGTCCCGAGGCTCAGGGCAGATCCGGGTGTGTAAGGCCTGGAGTGTAGGAGTCACCCTCCTCTCTCCCTGCCCGGCTTGCAGGTCCACACCTCCGTCTCTGCTTTCCTAGAGCAGCGCAGGCCTCACACTGCTTAGCCTGACATTCCTTGCACGTCCCCATTGGCCTTCCAGTTAAATCTCCACCATCACAGATGTGTTTCTTTTACAAATAGAAAACCATAACCAATGCAAATTTTCTAAAACCCAAACTGCAACACGCAGGTCCCACCCAGGGGACTCCCACAGCCCCACACAGCATGTCCTTCCCTGCCACGACCCTGCAGCCCGGGGCCACTGGCAAAGCGACCTTCCCAGCCTAGTTTAGCTTCCCTCCCAAGAGGTCCTGTCACAGTACTGACCTCCCCGCTCTGCACCGGTGAGGCTCCTGGTCATTTCCCCACTAACGTGTAAGCTCGCTGTGGATGGATCTGGCATCGCCCATCCCCACTGCCTAGCACAGAGCCTGGTACAAGCAGACACTAAGGGACCAGAGGGACACGGACTTACCCAGAGTAGCAGAACTGGAATTTAAATTTACAGCCTCCGAGTTTGTTTCGCTCATTCACAACTGTTACGGGACGAGCATTCCCAACCTGAAAACCTGAAATCTGAAGTGCTCCAAAATCTGAAACTTTTTGAGCACCCAAAAGATGCCACAGAGGAAAATTCCACCCTTGACCTCATGTGATGGATGAGTCACAATCAAAATGCGCTAAAAAGATTGTATAAGATTCTCTTCAGGCTGTGTATTTCAGGTCTATCTAAACCATGAATGAATTTGGCTTTTAGACTTGAGTCCCATCCCCAAGATATCCCTTTTTGTATATGAAAATATTCTAAAAATGTTTTTAAAAATCCAAAATCCAAAGCACTTCTGGTCGCAAGCATTTTGGGTAGGAGACATTCGCCCTGTATTGCCTGTGTTGCAATCAGTCAGTTTAGCCACCGCATTTGTAACTTTTTAAAAGACCGGGTAGCATTTTATTTGGGTTTACTTTTTAATTGAAATTTTGAATTTGAACTGTATTTACAAGGTTTCTGAAAAATGTAAGTATAAGATGTGCAACTCCTGGCTGCTGAACTCTCCCCCTTTAGCCTCTGCTGTTTTTCTTTTTGAGACAGGGTCTTGCTATGTAACCCAGGCTGACCTTGAACTAGCAGTAATCCTCCTGCCTCAGCCTCCTAAGTGCTGGATTTACAGGTGTGCACTACCGTGCCTGGTCTCTTAACCACTAGTACTAATTTTCTGTGTGCCCTAGATATGCAATGTAGAAGAAAGCAAATAGAGACATATGAATAGAAAATAGAAATTATATGCAAATCTAGCATACTGTATACATTCTTCAGTCTTTTTTACATATTATTTCTTGGAATTCTACATTAATTAGTGAACAGATACCTTGCTCTTGCTAATGGTTATAGGGTGTTCCATTGTATGGTCACCACTGTTGATCTGACTGGTTTCCAGTTGATGGGACATTTAGTTTCCTTCTAATTTGCAGTAATGAATGGAAGACCTTGGGTATGTTATTTCACATATGTGTTCCTATATCTTAAAAACAATATCTATATCTATATCTATATCATCTTTTTTTTTTTTTTTTTTTTGGTCTTTTTGAGACAGGGTTTTGCTATGCAGTTCAGTCTGGCCTTGTGCTCACTTTGTAGCCCAGGCTGGCCTCAAATTCGCAATGATCCTCCTGCCTCAGCCTCCAAACTGCTGGGATTATAGCATGCGCCACCATGCCCAGCTCTTTTATATATATTTTTAAACAGCACTATACAATTGAATGGAGAGAAATTCAAATTAAGACTTTCTTTTTCTACCAAGGAGTCACTGGAAGAATCTTTCTGAATTCCTGACTTTCTCTACCTCTATCTCCCCACCTGTGAAATGAGAATACTCCTTATCCCCACAGCCCACAGCTGCATATTGAGATAAAGTTTTACCCTTGTTCACTTTCAAATTCTTTCCAAGAGGAAAAATGTCTCCCATTTTCAATCCCATTTTTCTGTTAGATTAAAAGCCTTCAAGATAAAGGATCTTCAAAAAATGTGTAACTCTAGTCTTCTAACCTAGCAGTTTACTATGACCAAGGCAGAATTTTCCTGTGACACCTTTAAAAACCTTTCACTTATTTATGGATGGATTTTATCTCCCATATCAAGCCAAATCTGTTTTGTCTCCAAAATGAGAAGCCCAAAAGAAAGAAAATGATTTACCTACTTAGCTTTTTCATGTTACTATATCTTGTCAGCGACAACCACCAGGCTAACGGGTGAGAAACACACAGGGTAAAGAGCCAGCAAGTGAGGAAACTCAGTGGGGAATTTAAAGAGTGTCAGGTTAGCAGGTGCGTCATTGTCTCTCCCCAAAGCAGTTTGTGTTTGATAAGAGTGTGGAACCCTGATTGTCACTAGAAGGTGTGAGGAAACAGAGGCTTCCAGGGCCTGCACGGTGCATCCCCGTGCAGTCACTGAGAAGAGCTCTGACTGGGACAGGGACTCGCAGGCAAAGGCCTGGAGCCGCCTCTTCAGACACCTGGGTCTGACAGGCCACCAACTCCACCTGCCACATTTCTCTGGTTACTAAAGAACTGCCCTTCCAGCCACTAGAGAAGACCCATGGCTCCCAATCCCAGCAGCACGCTGGAATTACCCTAGAAGCCTAAAGCCCCACAGTACAGAGAGGCTGATTGAGATGTTTGGGATCAAAGGGATCCTTTGTTTAAGAATTCTTTTTTTTTCCCCCCGGTACCGGGAATCGAACTCACAACCTTGCGCTTGCCAGGCAGGCACTGTGCCGCTGAGCTAAATCCCCAGCCCCTGTTTAAGAATTCTTTAAACAACTCTAATGTGCAGCCAGGTTTGAGAACCACTGCTACAAAGAAGTATGGCCGGTGAGATTGCAAACACTGCCTGTAATTCAGAGAAAGAAGGAAGAAGGGATCGGATGTAATAGGAAACCCAATCCATAGTAACCCTAAGAACTTCTCAAAAGGCCAGGCTGACCCTTATGCTTCCCTGCTTTAAATCCTCAGTGCTTCTTATTTATTCTCAAGATGAAGACAAAATCCTTCGCCTCTCTTCCGGCTTGGAAGTCTGACTGCTTCCCACCCTCCTGCTTCTGTCTCTGCTCTGGTTATACCTGTCATGTGCCAAGTCCCTGGGGTCTCCTGCTTCCTTCTGCCACTGGTCTTAGCCTACGACATTCACCCCTTCCTGTAGTAAACTCTCACACACACTCACACTGAGTGCCATTCAGATGGACGAGCAGGACCTGCCTTGCAGTGCTCAGTCCCCAGCCCGCCTGGCTCTTTCAGGCTACCACACTGGTAGCAGCTCCCCTGGACATTGAGGCAAGAGAATTGACAAGGAAGGTGAAGAAAGAAGCTGGAAGTGTATTTCAGGGAAAGAGCACTTGCCTAACACACTCAAGCCCCGGGTTCTACCCCAGCGCTGCAGAAAGAAAAGAAACAACTAAGAAAGCCCTATTGCCTTTTACCAAGGGCATGGGCCGCAGGGGTGTTTGTATTTGTTTTTGTCTGATGTGCTCTTTATGGTGTGTTAACCCAACAGGAAAGTGGGGAGGAACAGGACTCTCATGAAGATCCAGGAGAAGCTGATCCAGGAGAAAAAGATGAAGACAGCAGCCGAGGTAGAGACTGCAAGCCTGGGTCCCCTGATCTTGTCACTGTAATTGTTGGATGGACTTGGAGCTGTTACACGATGTTCAAAGAGAAGCCAGGAATGGTGGCCCCTGCCTGTGATCCCAGCAATGGGGAGGCTGAGGCAGGAGGATTGCTTGAGTTTGAGGCCATTGTGGGCTACATACTGAGTTCAAGGCCAACCTGGACTACATAGTGAGACCCCGCGCCCCCCCCCCCACACACACACACAGATATCCACAGGGAATGGCCCTTTCATTTCTCCTCAGGTTGTGGGTTTGGAAGTCAGAGCGCAGACCCAGCAGGGCTGAGTTCAGGCTCTGCATCCTTGGTGCCTCCCAACCAAATGACAATAACATGGTTTGTGTCCTTGGATTATTGAAAGAGTCCTTTTCTGATGCTGGCTACATTTCCATGTGAGACGGTAGAGACTTTGGGAGCATTATGAAAAGGCTCCACAGGTGCCTTCACCTCTCTGTTCCACCTGTTTGCACAGTGGGTCTTGGATATGCAGGTGAGGGGGCTATAGTTCCCTGCCTGGAGGGCTGATATTTCAAAGGACAGGGCCCCCCCGTGTACAGACCCCGCTCCTGTCATCACAGCCTGGCAAAAGCTGCCTGGTGGTGGCTTGCTCCAAAGTGGACTATGTGTACAACAATGGTGGTTGTGACAGTGGTCTCGTAAAACATCAGCCGCAGAACCACTGGGCTTTGGTGCTGAGGACAAGGCTTAGGCTCTATCCTGAGGTCACCCTACTACAGTGACTGGATGAAAGACGGCCACTAGAGACAGTCATGGAGAGGATGCAGGCTAGACATAGACCTCTGAGACATTTAAACTCAGGCTGGAAGGACCTGGGGATCCTGCCCACAGAGTAGAGAAGTCAGGCTGGTTGTATGTGTCTTTTGGAGGGAGCTGGGGCTGAAAATGCTGGCATTCAGTCCAGTGGACTGCTTGACCCCACCTCCCCACTGCAACATCCAACACAGACCTCAGTGGTCTTCTTGGTTTCACCATATGCCAGTGTGATTGGAGATGTACCTCAGCTTGGATGGTTGACATAGCCTGGGGTATGTGGACAGAGGGGCCTCTAGAGTAGGGTTGGGGGTAGGACCACACAAACCCTCAACCTGTAGGCCAAGAAAGCCATGAGCTAGGCACAGCCGGGGAATGTCCAAACTGGGAACAACTGCTATGAATACAGCTCTAGGAGAGAACCCATTGACTGACAACACCCAGCAGGGAAGGTGGGGCAGGAGTCAGCATTCACACACAAACAACATGAGTATGGAGCAAAATAGGTCTTAGTCACTCGCTATTCTTCTCCCATATCTGATGGATTCCCATACTGCAGACCCTGGAAAGAAACTATTCATTCAAAAACACAGAGGAAATTTTTAAATCATTTGTCCTTATCTTCATTAGTTTTGGGGGGTTTGGAGGTTTTTCCTCTTTTTCTTTTTTTTTTGCTCTCTGTTTTTTTCTTTTCCTTGTTTCTTCTTTTCTGTTACCTTTACCTATCCTATTTTTTTCTTTAATAAGATCCTTTATCTCACTTGTCTCTCATCATCCTTTCCTTTATTTTTCAAATTTTACTTCTTTTACTTTTCCCCTTTCCTACCCTCTCCATCCTTACTAGTATTACTATTAAACGTTATTAATCTTTAGAGATTTAGTGAACTCCATGCAATTATTGTTGAATTCTTTTATGTTGCTAATGGTGGTATAGTTTTTACATTTGCTATTTACTGCATGTCAATATTTGGTTTGTCTTTGCATCTAATTATAGATCTCTTTTCTATTGTTAAGGGTATACCATAGCAGCTTTACTGGTTCTTATAGTATGTCTCAGTCTAGTTTGTCTTTGACTCTATTATCTTTGTTGATTTTGTTACTTTTGCCAGGGCAGCAGTTGTTGCTCTTACTTGGTTTTTATTATACCAATGTCAGGTTTGTCTTTGGACACTGGCAATAGTGCAGCTCATTACCAGAGCAATGGGTGCTGAGCCAGTGCACTGAGCCTCCCCTCTTCTCCCCAAATTAATAGAGGTGCTTGGATCTTGGGGCACAGGCAGAGGCCCTGTCCTGGTTACTTTCCTCTTGTTGATGGGACAAAATACCTGATGCCCAAAATTAAGGAAGGAAAGGTTTATTTTGCTTACAGTTTGTGGAGGTTTCAGTCCACACTTGGCAGGTTACAAGGCAGAGTGGCACATGGCAGAGGGCTACAGCTCATGGCGGCAGAACACAGAAAAAGCAACAAGCAGTAAAAAGGAGGAATGGCGGCAAGCAGCCTCTTCCTCTCCCTTACATATGCAAACTACCCACCCCACGGCGGGTGCAGCTCTCACACCCATAATCAGTCAAACTCTGAAAGCCTGCCCCATCGCGGCATGAGGCTTTGGCGGGACACCCAGACACAAACCATAACAGTCCCATAGTTAGCTATCACGAAAGCACACTAAAACCAGACACTGCAGCTGAGTGTGGTGGCGCATACCTGTAATCCCAGCACTCGGGAGGCTGAGGCAGGAGAACTGTTGTGAGTTCAAGACCAGCCTGGGCTACAAAGTGAGTTCAAGGCCAGCCTGAACTGCATAGCAAGACCCTGTCTCAAAAAAGACCAAAAATAAATAAATAAATAAATAAATTTAAAGAAAAATAAAATCAGACACTAACTAAGGATATCTCCATACTAGCAACAAAGTCTTTCCACTCAATCAATCTTAAACCTTTAGCATAAAAGTAGACCATTGACATGAACTCAATTTACTCCCAAGGGCTGGTTGTAGCTCAAGTAGTCGATAAAAGGCTCAGTTTCCTCTACACAGCCTTCAAGGTCTCTCACCTATATACAAGCAGATCTCAGTGTCCTTAGAGAGACATTGGCCCAGGATTTCTCTTTTCCTTCATTTTATTTTTTATTTTTTTTTTTTTTCTGGTCCTGGGAATCGAACTCATGACGTCACTCTTGCCAGGCAGGTGCTGTGCCACTGAGCTAAATCCCCAGCCCCAAGGCCCAGGATTTCTCACTTAACCCCACACAGGAGAGGATGTTGTAATGTTCCCTCCAGAACCCTTTAAGAGTTAAATCTGTATCTGAGACCATTTGAAAGCAAAAATGGCCAGCATTCCAGTCATAAGTCAAGACTTTGGAAGTTAAAACTAAAATTTCAGTCATAACCCAAGTTATTTGTATGTCAAGCCAGTCATAACTCAAGGGCCCATGGTACAAACATACAGAAAGAGAGAGACAGAGACAGAGACAGACATAGAGGGAAGCAGAGAGAGACAGAGAGAGAGAAAAGAGAAACATGAGATGACAAGGTAATAAAATGCCTCCAAAAATTTCCAGCTCTCCAAAACTGACCCATGGGGCACTGATGGGGAAAAAATCAAAAGCCAAACAATGAATTGTATGAAATGATAAAAAAAGACAAAAAGATAAAACCAGATCAATAAGGTGTCCGGCAAGTTCAAAGATGATGTAATGAAACAGAAAATGGACTTAATAAACAAAAATTATCAGTGAGCTTAGAGAAGACACTAATAAAAAAACTAGCTAAGCTAAACAAAGTGATACAAAACTGGAATGACAAGTTAGGTAAAGAATTAGAAGCCATGGAAATACACCAAGCAGAAATGCAGGATTAAAAATTCTATTGAAAGTATGGCAACAGAAGTGACCAATGTGAGGACAGAGTGTCACAACTAGAAAATAGGGCAGATGTCAGAGACCAGATATTTGGAGATAACTTAAAAACAAGAGAATGGGAAATAAGAAACATGGGAAATGGATCCAAAGGCTGCTGATGATGCAAAGACTAAGATCAATTGGAATTAATGAAAAATCAGAAGACAACAAAAATGGCATAAAAACCTGGTTACAGAAATAATAACAGAAAACTTCTCAAATGTAGAGAAAGAATATAAACATACAGAACAATGAGACATATAGAACCCCAAACAGCTATGACTGGGAAAGAATTTCTCCACAACACACCATAGTCAAAATCCTGGGTGTCCAACACAAGGATGGACTCTTGAAAACTGTTAGAGAAAAGCAACAAATCATTTATAAAGGGAATCCCATTAGAATTACAGCAGACTTCTCAACACAAAGCTCAAAGGCCAGGACAAATTGGAGTAAAGTTTTTCAAGTCCTAAAAGAAAACAAATTCCAAACGAGACTCATATATCCTGCAAAACTATCTTTCAAAGTTGCAGGGAAAATGAGGTCTTTCCATGACAAACAGCACCTTAGGAAATACATGACCACCAAATCAGCACTCCAAAAAATTCTCAAGGACATCCTAGAAAGAGACAGTGAAGACAACAATGCCAAAAAGTCTAATGAATACACCAGGCTGGGTGAACAGTTAAGCAGAAGAGGGGAAGAAAGGAATCAATAACAGGGAAAAAAATGTAATGACAGGAATAAGTCAAGGCCTTCCAGTAATAATTCCCAGTGTGAATGTTCTAAACTCCCGCAATTAAAAGACATAGATTGTCTGAATTTTTAAAAAACCTAATGGTTTTTTAACCATTAATTAATGGTTAAAAACCACATTAATCTAAAAAGAAATTCATAGACTAAAAATCAAAGCATTAAAAACAATGTTCTATGCAATGAGAACCTCCAAAAAGCAGAAGTAGCTATCCTACTTTGAGACAAAGTAGACTTCAAGCTAAAACTGATTAGAAGAAGCAAAAAAGGTCACTACATACTGAGTAAGGAAATACTTCAACAGGAAGAGATAATTACTATAAACACAAATGCAGTAGGTACTAGCACATCCAATTTTATAAGTAATACTATGGGGCACAAAAGATCAGAAAAACATCAACACAATTACAGTGGGTGTCTTAGTTACTTTTCTTGTTGCTGTGACAAAATACCTGACACTAAGATTTATTTTGGCTCACAGTGTGTAGAAGTTTCAGTTGATAGTTGGCTGGTCCTGAGGTAGGGTAGCTTGCTAAAGGGGCA